TTGCACTAATATATCAGTGTTCCTTTTCTTCCTGACACCCCCCTTTCATGTTCTGATTAATGGGTTAATCCATATTTAGGCACATAGGAAATTAAGTGTTGTTGCACTGATCTTTCTTCTAAACTTTGAATTATGTTGTGCTTTTGAACACAACGGGAGTTATTTCTAGCATAGCTTGTGTTGAAATATGAAATAACCATCAGATTTGTACTTTAACTAAATAATGTCCAAGATACATCAATCACTTTTTGATCTGAATACAAATTATATAGAAAAAAAGAGTCCTTTGTAGAGATCGGGAAGGTTTTCACAATGTTTCTATCCCTGTGAGGTAATTTGAGGTACAAGAGAACAAGCGCACATACAGATACAAAGTCCCTCCTCAGTCTGTCCTCTCTGCGACCTTATCAGTATGCTGAGGCATTAACTCCATTACCTTGAGTTGGCAGCCAGTCAGGGGGAAGAGCCACTCTTTCTCTCCAGGTACTGTATAGTTAGGGCCCTCTCTCATATCCGTGATTGGAAACTTCCACAGCCAATACATTAGCGCTGACCTCCATCTCTTTGACCACTGAGTAGGAAGTTGATATTGCGGCTTTATTAGAGCCACTTGAAGGAAAAGTGGGAAAGAGAAGTGAGGTTGATGTAACTCTACAGCAGGTTAATGTTGTTTATGGCCCACTACAGACATGTTTGTGTGAAGACTAGGTTTTTTGACATGTTCTCACCATGCGCCATTCTTTAAACTACGGACATTATTGTTGTCTAGTTAATCTTAGGCAACCAGCTATAAAAACTTGAGAAGGCAGAACACATTTCCATGGACTTTGGTAAAGTTGTACCACCCATCCCAATGGCTTCTTTACTTCTAACAACAGGCTGTTAAACATGTAGGTTAAGCATGTCACTTGAAATGAGCTCAAAGGAAAACATTTCTAGAGCATCTAGACACTATAACAACACAAAATAAAATGTCAAAGGGCTCTAAGCTAACAGCGCTGTATGAGTGCTGATCTTGAAAAGCGACCTGCATGAACAGGATGGCGTTTCCTGATGTTTTGTCTGACAAAACACTTGTTTGACATTCACGTTATTTAAAGTGAGCAACAACACAAACCCTTTTTACTCATAATTAGACAAACTCACCAATGGGTTTGCTTTTATTTAGGTTTACTTTGGATTTGTACAAACAAAAGATATCTTGAATGTTGTTTTTATTCCTTATCTGGAACATCTATATATATAATGTAATATATCTTGGTTTTGATATTGAATTGGGTGCAATACCCTTAAGAAGACTGTCATGTCGAACCCTTGCTAAATGATTAAATAATCTATTGCATTGTGACTACGAGTGTGAAACTATTTTCCTTCAGGTCTGTATTTAAATCATCCTCAGTGGTTGTTGACACTAGTGTGTGGTCCTCAGTGCTGCTGGATGAGCAGTGAAACATCCTGGAATTCCTTCTATTGAATCCTGGTTTCTGTTCTAAACCTGGTTCTGAACAAGAAGTTGATTCCTTTTTGATATTGTTATATTGCTCATGTCAGTTCTTTCTGCCAGTGAAGTGGGCATACTATTGTAATTGAAGCAAGTCCCCTTACACGTTTTAAACATGTATTTCTTCCCATTCATTCAAACTGTGCTGGAGGCAATTTAAGAAGTTCAAATCAGTAGCTGTGCACACACCGTAGGTCCACTTTAATTGGAGTAAGCTTACAGCATTTAGAATTTCATATTCTCCTAATATTAAAAGACTTTGATATTGATTTAAGTGCTGTCAATATATAGCAGAGCTTTTATCCATGGTAATTCTGTGAAACTAATATATTTCTCCTCCAAACAAGGTGAGTGTGAAAGATAAATAAAGGACAAAGCAATACGAGGTAATAGCCCCTGGAGAGTCTGACCTCTCCCTGTGGTGAATTGTAATGTGTGTACATCTCTATGACCCTGCACCCTGGCCATAATCCCTCACTACAGGGCCTGGATTAGGGCCTAGTTTTATTACCCCCCCCCCCCTCTCTCCCTCTCCCACTCCATCTTCAGCCTGGATCGATGGCCGGCTCGGGCTGAAGTGGCAGCGCTGGTTATTAAACGTGGGACCAACCAAACCCTTCGGACTGCTGGGATAATCCCATCACAAATTAAGTAGAGGAAAATTGTTCAGGGAGAGCCGGGAGGGGAGAGAATCTTCATATAGTGACCTTCTAACAGAGTACACACAAACAAGCACATACTCCTTCACAGCCCTCTTATCATATGTTAATCTGTAAGGATTTGTACGTGTTATGGATCAGCATTTTATTAAAGATAAGACCTCACTAATGGGAAAAAGCTATTCTTGTCAATGTTAAAATGCCAGTGGTATCAAAACATATCCAGACATGATTAGGTAACGTCTATGCATACACTCAAAGTGAAAAGAAGGTCACACAAAGTCAATCTTTTATACATGTCACTCATGCGTATCTCAATGTGACAGTTTTGGAATTGAAAATGGAAAACATGAACAATGAGAGGATCTGATGAAATTAGAAAACCTAAAGGCATAATCTATTATCTTTTAAATATAACATTACATAATATATTATAGGCATATTTCATGCAGCCAGGTAGTGTGGGTGTTTGGTTCAAGCATGGTTTTAAATTAGAGAATACAATAGTTAGTCCCAAACAATGGGTACAAAAAATCACATTGCATAATGCAAGATCAATGTTGTCATGGTTTCAAAAGACCCAGATATAGACGTCCAGTAAGTGCTGAGCCTTGAGGTATTCTGGGAAACACACCATTGCAGGTTTTAGTGTAACTCTCTGTTTAACACACACACAAAGAAAAGCTCTATTACATAAGTTAAGAGTTAGTGTGTGTCTGTGTCTGTGTGTGTTATGTCCAGTATGATAATACTAGACGTTAATTACCCCCGTTGTCTGTGGCGAACGTCCTTAGAGCCCTGAACTGGACGTGAACCAGCCGTTACTCAGAGGGGCCAAAGTTTATTAAACTATTATTGAATCTTCAACCCAATTTAAGAGTAAACGCACAATGACTGGCCGTCTTGCTGCTTGCTGGGATTTCTTTACTCAATTCCAAATCTCCTTTGATGAAACCTTCAGACAACGGCCAAAGCAAATTATAAACATTTGTAACAGAGACAAACAATACATATTACAAGCTGCTGGTGAGTTTGGTTGCCATGGACTTTGTCAGCAGAGTGGTTTGGGTAGAAAGAAGATCGAACTTCTAACACAGGGTTGTGAAGCTACTGTGAAAGTGTGGTTTGAAAAGCTACCTGTACTGTAACTTCACTTGCGGCAATGACTCCTTCATGAGAAATAAAGTTTTTACTACTTAAAAAGTTCCTAGAAGTTTTGAGATGTCATATAGCCATTTGCTTATTCAATCCTCCTGCACCTACTGTAGTGGGAGGAGGAGGCTGTGGTGAATTGGACATACAGTGACCCAAAAGTATTTTCCAATGGTCTCAGCCATCCTAGGAGTTTTCGAAGTGAACCTGAAACACTATCAAAGCAGTACAACTGGCAACAATAAGGAATTATAACACACAGTTTCAATTGAATGACCTGCTATATTTAAACCACCTCAAATCTTAAAGAGAAACATTTATTGTGTCATTAACAAGTCAGCAAGTGGTGTGGCCAACTCTATTCCAGAGACTGTTCACCCAAGAAGAATGTATTAGCTGTTTAAAAAATAAATAAATTGATAGGTCAGTGGAGATATTTCTCCCAAAAAGTATTGTTTTACTACTCCAGACTTCAATATTTAACAAAATATTGAAGTCTGGAGTATAAAGGCAGTGGCAAACATATGTTGATCTCCCCTTTTTATCGGGATTCAGTCACATAATTATAATTGTAGTTGTAAGAAACACTTTCAATTGCATTAAAATCTCCCTCGTCTTGTCACAGTATTAAATACGCGTAAGCCATGATTAAAATGCGACGCTTCCACCACTAAGACATGTCTTTGGTGTATCAGATGGAAGCTTAGCACCGGCATATGCTCTCTGCCATGATCCGCCGACGGATGACAGGTGGTTACCCAACTATTTGCATAATTATGGGTGTAACGTGCAGGCTGTTCGAACGTCATAAACAAATCCATATGGTCTTCTGGGAAAATCCAGATGATTCATATCCAAGCTCACAGATAAACTTAAGGTGTAACAGACACAGGATTTCTCACTGAATGTTTTAGCAGGAGTGTGAAGTGTGGAGTAACTTCATTCCCTCTACTTGTTTTGGCAGCTTTGATTAAATGTGAGAAGTTGTAGTTGTAGTTTGGGCAAGTGTTTCCTGAGCACTTTCTTTCGGATGCTTGATGGCTTGGGTCATTTTGGTAGTGAGACCTAGTTTCAATCCCAGGAAAATGTCCAGAACCAGTGCCACTCAGAAGTGCAGTATGTGAAAATGACCCTTATCTTGAGATTCAGATCATGACATATGAGTAATGGTGCTCTAATTACGATTGTAATTGTTTTTATGGCCAGGCTGAGCAAGGGGTTGGATAATTATTCATATACTTTTCTCTCATATTTACATTTTATAAAGCTGTTTGAGTCATTTTTCAGCTAAAATGATAAGGCAGTATATTAATGTCACTATTGCAGGACTCAAGCCAAGCAAACCTCTCAGACTTAATGTCTAGGCCAACAATGTTTCCATTTGGGTTCAATATACCATACATGGTAACACAACTATTTATATTCACCACTTCCCATGTCTCAGTGGACATCCAGTATAGTGTAGTCGCTGAGGTACTTTAGGGGCCTTATGGTTACCAGAATGTACTGTGGGCCCAGACATGTGCCACAGTTGGAACACTGTAGTGGAAAGTGATCTACCCAATATGTGAATAAAACAGCAAGTGGTTGTGTTGCTGTAACTCTATTATCCTAACTGTGCCCTCTATATTTGACATTCTCTTACCTTTTCTTTCCACCTTCCTTGTACTCCACCCTCCCCTCCACAGACATGCCTCTCCATGTCCGTCGCAGCAGTGATCCCTCTCTGGCTGACCTAGTTCCAGGCGAAGTCCCGGTTGGTCCAGAGGAACCGTCCAGAAAGAACCCAGCACGATGGTCCACCACGGTTGGCTTTCAAAAGCACAAGCACAAACCAAACGTAACCGCCGGCACAGGCACAGGCAGTCTGGAACGAAAGGTAACATAAATCTTGTTAATAAGGCATGGGTATATTAAAACTCAACAGAACATGAATTCTATATTTCACTTTAAAGTACTATATACCAATTTAAACAAATTATTTCCCAGAAGTTCTTTTTTTTCTAGTCCTGCCGATATACTGGGGCTGCATCAATTATAATGTCAGAGAGATGTGCTCTGAAATCTTTCCACCTCCAGCAGTCTCTCTGTTTTTAACTTGCTTTTTTCCCTCATTTTTATTCCGTCTCTCCTCTGCACCCTAAATCAAAGAAATAACCGTTAGATATGAAATCTTCGCTGCCCTGCTTGCAGATATCCAACAGTGGCATATATAGTCTTTAACTGAAACTAGTTCCTTCTGATAACACCCTTCTTTGTCTTCAAAAGAAACGAGCCGAGATTGTTAAACACTTTCCCTTTGTTCAAAATTCACCTTTCTGAGCCTTTTTAAGCCTCTGATTATAAATCTGTAGAAAACAGCGTAGCTCAGGTACATCCTCCCTGCGGGTTCCAAAAGAAAAGGGAAGCCAATTAACTTCTCAAAATGGCTGCCTGCACACAGTGCTGACAGACCTTTACGTCTTGCTGGGGAATAGATATGTTTTCCATTGAAACAGGAAGGTTAAAAAAAGGGGAGATGATTGAGTGCTTAGAACGTGACACGGCAAACCTTTACATTATTAGTGTGTCTGGAAGCATTGTCTGATAATCCCATTTAAGACACTTTAGTTGTCAGAGCCTCAACAATGTAATGGCACACTCCACAGCAGAGGGCAGGGAGAGGTGGAATTTCATTTTGTCAGGATCGCTTCTTCTTCTGGTCCAGCCTATACTGAGCAAATATGTGCAAGTATTGTTTGTCTGTTTGAGCTTGTTTGCTCAAAAACAAAAAGAAAGAAACATGAAGAAAACCTAAAAGAAGCAGAACAGAGGTGGTGATAAATGCTTTTTCTGAATCTTCTGTGCAATTTGGGCCTTCTGCTGCTCTGCCCTGTGTTCAGTATGTTCGTGGCTGGTTTCTTTTTACTATGTGATACGAAGTGTTTGTGTTGTAAAATGTACATAACCGAGGTGAACATTAGAATATACTCAAGTGATTGCACATTTGTACACTTTAAAATCATAAATTACAATACAACACTGATAAGATGTAAAACATTTTTTTTTAAATGCTCCAAAAGAGAGCTTCAATAGATGTATTTTAATTGTATTTGAAAGATACTCATGTTTGGTTGATTTCCGATTGAATGGGATGTCAGCAATGTATTTTAAAGATGGGTATCCAAACATGAATAAAGTTTGAAAATAAAGCTTAACTTAAATTTCCCATTTACTGTACCTCTGGCCTCCCATCTCCCATCATTTATCTAAATCAGATCAATTAAAGTCATTTTAATGTCGCTGGGGGCTTGTTTGAAAAGTAATAAGCTAGCACTGGGAGACTGTCATTTTTATTCAGCTTTTGACTGGGCTATTTCCTTTTCAATAAAAAAGGGAGTCTTAATCCTCATAATCCTCAGTGACTCTTTCTCATTCACCCCACTGTCCTATATTCACCGTCAGTTCAAGATAAAGTCATTTGTATGCAATCAACAACAGATGTAGAAAGTATTAGTCAGCATTGACGTTGATACATTTATGTCTTGGCGCTAACATTGTTCTCAAAGGTAACCATACATCAGTGATTAGCATTGCCAAAAGACTGTATGGATTCAAGCCATACACTATAGCGTCTACCCATTGTCTGGGGTGATTTCCTTTATACACTACAGCCAGCCTTATTTTGACCAATTCCCTGTGAGTCCAGTTAAGGCCAAGTAAGGCTCGGTTCTGCTATATCTCCTTAATATAAGCCAACGGGAGTCCTAAGTCATCAGCTAGCCCTGTAAACTCATCACGTCTCCAAATGTCTTTTCAATACCTCATACTCTCGGTTCTCTGCGCTTTGCACAGCAAATAAAGGGAGTAGGTAGTAGATATTAGCCTGTTGATTTACTGCTACCTCTCTGGTATCTGGGTTTCTGCGCATTTTACGATCTGATGTGTCGTAAACGTTTGTGGAAAGGGGTCCTTTGTCGCGCCCTGTTGCATGTCGGGGACTCGAGCCACGATGGCTATCAGGGGCCGTCTCAGTGGAGCCCACGTGTCCGGCTGAGTTTTACAGTCCTGTCTGCAGTGCTTCCTCAGGCCCCGTCACGCCACATTCAACAGCACTAAAACACACATGGCTTGTTTTAGCATTCAGGGGATAGGGATCTCCACTGTTCTCTTTTACTCTTGTTTTTATGTATTATTGTTTGCTGATACTCCCGCTAATCCTGCAACATGCCACTTGGGAGTTCTTCTTTTTTAACTTTTGTCTGTGTTCTTTTGTTGTGTGATGTCTCGTTAAAGGAAATCAAAACTTCTGTTTCTGTCTGTCTCACTCCTCAACTGCTGTTTCGTAAATCATTAGACCTTTAATCATTCTTATTCTGTTAGTGTATCCTGGTGAGTCATTCTCTCCGCTGTGTTTTTAATATTCATTTGCTTTCATATTTATTCAAATAACCACAAGGTCCTTCAATTGCCGTGATTTGGATGCCAAGGCTAGCATGTCTAGAATGTAATCTAATGTGCTTTTGTGAGTTTTTTAGCTTGTGGCTGTTGTAATAAGTCTGCTGAAATCTGTGGGTGTTTGACATTACCTTGGCAGTAGCTTGTTGGAACGTGCTTTTTTGTGTAATTGAAGAGCTCAGCTTTGGCCGTCTTATTGTAATAGGCCTCTTAGTAGCAGCTCAGGTTTAGCTGTGGGGAAGGGTTAGGGGTGAGGGTCGAATAGAGTAAGACTTGATGAAATCATTGCGTTGGTGTGTGGCACCAGTCCAAGATATACTAACTGACATCCACTACAAAACGTCTGTCATCCAGCTGCTATAGATAGCACAGAAACTGTCAGTTTAAAACCTAGAAGTATGGAGAAAGGATGTGAAGTTAAATCTCTCCACCTCTTCCTTTTCCATAGGGTAGAGGAGGCAATGCCTATCGGAGTCTTCCTCGTGACACGAGTGGCTGGCCCACTCAGTTCCAGAGAGAAGTGACTCGATCCTCCCTAAGCGCAAACCATCCGATGGTGGACAGATGGCTTGACAGACAGGAACAGGTATTGAGATTTACTTCATACAAAAATATAGGGTGATTTATTTAAGTTTAAAGACAAGAACACCCTAGCTAATAAGGATGTTAGGGTTAGGGTAATCCAAAAGTCATATAGCTAGTGTCAGTAACATAAAAACATCCTGTAAAACAGCATGAGTAGCAGGATTAGATGTAATGTCTTAGCATGGCTGGCCCCTCACTTTATCTGCAGACAAACACATGCTGCATTGTGTCAAAATCATACACTGCTGCAATAGGTTTATAGCATTTACATTAGAGTAGTGACAGATACAAAATGGTAGTGATTTCAACCATACTCCTCACTGCCCCAGCCATCTTGAAACAGAGTAAGTGATTGACATCAGACTTCATACTTTTGTTCTATGTAGCTATACTTATCATAAAGTAACAGCGTACACTTTCAGTCATTGCAGGGTTGTCTCCTCACTTCACACCTCCTGGCTCTGTCGGCACTTTGTGATTGTCTCACTCTCAGCTGGTCCCTGTACTCCTCGCTCTGTCAGAGAGAGAAACAAATGTTCCCTTTAAAAGTTATTAAAAGTGACAGAGGCTCTCTGCTGGGAGAGCAGAGATGACCTTGAGAGTGTCAGACACGCTGAGCTAGACGTGAAGAGGCTTTCTCCAAGTTTGTGTGTCAGTCTAACACACATACTTACCTGCGTTGGAGGTGTTTAATATATCCCTCCTTTATACCGTTTATAAGAAATAGCAAAGGGTGAGAAACATGAGATACGGAAAAGAAGAGTAAAGCAAATGCACAAGTTATTGAGTGAATACAAGAAGAGTTGAGAGCGTTAAGAGGATTAGCTTTCCAGGGTTCTCACCTGAATGCCTGGCCAACCATGCTGTGGGTTTCGTGCGGTTTGTCTGTCTTTCTCATAGTGTAACTGAAAAGGAACCTCACCAAGGTTGGGTGTCATTGATGTGGAGTCCACTTTTATTTGAAGAAATATTTTCATACTCTTAAAGTATTTGTATCTGGCTAGCTTTCAAGGAAAAGCAATCTAATGAACATAAGTTATTTTAGCACTGTGTTTGGGTCATGTGAAGCTACTGCAGTAGTCATCGAATAGAGTGTCCAGCCATAAAACAAAAAACACAAACTGACACCACATTTTGGATAGGACTCTTGTACATACAGAAGTTTAAATCAAATCCACCCCTCAAATGTAATTAAGCCTTGATACAGGCTAATGTATATATTGCTAAATGGTAGTAATACTTTGTCTAAAAATTCTACTTTTTAACCACCAGATCAATACATTAATTTCGATTGTTAAATGTCATAATGATATACTCTACATTAGTTGTTGTATTTTGAAAACATTTAATTTAGATGATAAGATGATAAAACCCTCAGTTTGAATTAAAAAATTACATTTTACGGGTACATTAATCACAATTTTTCCAAAGGTAACAGGGGTTCTTGCAGTTATAAACCACATACTATTTAGATGTATCTATATCAGTTTTATTTAATTGCTTTGTTAGTTGCAGTCAAAATGGTTTAATCAGTCTAAAAAAGACGTATAGTAACAAAAACAGGCATTTACACAAATGAATTCAAAGATTACTGTAAGGTTTCCCGGCTGAAGATGAGAATATTATTTAACAGCATGAGTCACCAACAGCAGTATGTAAACATTTAATGAATAACAGCAGGAATGCCACAGTGTGAGCGTAAGCATCCACACGGTGGCTAATTCTCTGCTACCTGAGCCTAATCTGACAGCTGTATGACAAAGAAGATTCACACAACACAAATCCGCTCATGAGAGGTGACACAGTGATAGTTTCACAGACGCACCTTGATAGCCAGTTGTTTTCCCTCTAACTCACTGTATCTCAGGCTTGATCGCTGCCTTCCCCTCCCACCCATGACCGTTACATATCTTGTCTTCTTTGTCTGTTTGATGGACGGGCAGCAAAGCATAATAGAATTGGAAGATACAAATGCACAGCGTGGGCTAATTAAAAAGAATTGCGATCACTCCTAAAGCGCAGGCGGAGATAATGAGTATACACACACACTAAGGTTTTAGGAAAATCACACCAATTAGCAGTTGTTTGTTTATCAGGGATAATCTCTTGTACTAGTGTTACGCTTTATGAGTGAAGATAACAGCAATAACAAAGAACAGTAAGAAAAAGGGATCACACACTCTACGATAGATTAAAACTACTTATGCGTTCTTTACTTTATATATTTATATTCATGTGTATATAAGTCTCTGCAACTCTTTCCTAAACTTCATGCTGTACACTACCTTAAGTTTTTAGGCATTTCTTCTAACATCAAATCTTCTTCTTTTAATGGCTGATGTAGGTTAGCGGCTCTTTTGTGCCTGGCCACATTTCGTACACTCATAAAGTGCTTCACTTAACCATTTATATTTAAGCAGGCCTTCCCACCCCCTGCTATAAATTAAGAATGTGAAGCCAGGCAGACTAGAACGACATGGACTTCTGTGCTTAAAATACCAAAGATGTTGTTTGAGTTGGATGACGTTAACTATACAAGCTGTGATTCTGTCGTCACCTCCTGAAACCCAGATGTTATAAACCTAGTGAGGGATTTAAGGTGGGGATGCAGAACTGCAGATGCAGGAGTGGTTTTGTAGGCATTTTTATCTTACCTTAGACAACTTGAATACTGTATGTTTAGATGCAAACCGACTTATTGTTGGTGAGGGTTAGGTTTGTGTTCATTAGGTAATTCCACTTTAACCTAATTTCTATTATGAACCTTTAAAAACAAGAAATGTCAAATATGATATGATATTTTTCCTATGCAGATGTTCAGCATACACACTGATCACAAGGCTGCTCGCCCCTCCAGTTATATCTGGAAGTACGCCTGCATTGTCTTATGTTTATCTAGCCAGTCAATAAATTCACTTTAGTGTCAAATATTCCATCTGAGACTTGGCGCTCTTTCAATCGCTCGCCACTCTTCAACACACTTAGGCTGCCAAATGTGGCGTGGAGAAAAGCTTGCTCTATCAGCCAATACGCCAAGGCCTTATGAGTTATTCTTTATACAAACAACTGACATTAACGTTGGCCTATTATCCCATTGATGAATGCTAATGGGCCTTCCCGCTCAGCATATTGGGATCTGGCTGAGTGCCTCTCCACTGTATTGTTTCGCAGCCTTGAGGAGGGACCAGAGGCCATTATTATGAGCTGTACCAGAGGCGGGAAGGACACCAGCTGTCAATCATAGGATTTTACCCAATCAAAATGGCTCACATGTAAGAAGCCAAACATGTTTAAAGTTTACCCAAAGAGTTCAGAGTTGAATGGTTCAAATACAGTGACATTTAACTATTAATACTGATTATCATGTGTTATCTTTAGAGTATTTTCAAATCAAATATCCAGCTTGATACCAGCCTTTGTTTATAGGTTTCTTTTGGTTGGCTTTCCATAAACCGTTTTGGAATTCGGTTTCAAAACAGAAAGAAAATCCCTAAAGCATTACATAACAGAGTAAAAACAATGTCTTAGTGGGAACAGCTCTGATCAGACAACTTTGATAAAGCCTCCAACTGTCAGAGTGCCTCCCTGTCTTTGTTGTCTAAATGAGACACCTTGTTTGGCAAGTTTGAAAGGAAACCAAAGTGGCGAGCTGCCCAGTTAAATCATAGTGCCAACATGTGAAAAGGAGAGGAGTTTGTGCAACTTCAAGCCGGATGGAGAGCAGTGTGAACACACTCCTTTCCTTTCATATTCTCACACAAAGGATTTCTCACCAAACAAACACAGATTGGCTTTTGGGAACTGATTTGCTGACTGTTATTTTTCTCACATTATTTTCTCCATCTCTCACGTTAGTTAGAAGCAAACTGCTGTTTTACTCTGCAGCTAGGCCTTTGCACAATTAATGGCTGTAAAAATAAAACACAGAAGAATAAATTCATTCATAGGTGATTTAACCAAGTCTACTCTCCTGACTAGTTTGTTTATAAAGCCCTCACAGTCTGCAGACCCTGAGGCGAGCTGCGGGCAATAGAGCAGTTGAGCAAGGAGAGAGACAGCCCTGTCTCCCGTTCTCTTTGGTCTCTCCAAATGACTTGGAGACACATACAGTGGATGGGTAAGGTTGGAGAACTCACAGTTTTTTTCTTTTCTCCAGGGTCATGTGTTCTTCAGCGTGCGTGCGTTAGATACATCTGGGCTGATGTTTGATAAAGAGCAGGTCTGAGGTTTTGTTGTGTGCACTGTAAAAGAAAGCAACACACATTCCAGGGCAGTACAGTATCGTTGTGGTGTCCTGTGTCTGCAGAGAGGACCTTGCACTTATCCAGGACTTCTCTTGTAATTTCCCCTGAAACATACATAGGAAGCCAGTCATGCCAGATGTACTCACTATGTCTTTTTAAACTGCTGTCCAGTGGGCATGCCCAGTCAAATACTCACATTATCTTTTTCCACTATTAAGTATCATCTGTTTGTAGCACAATTCCAGTGCATTTTCTGTTCCTTCCTGCTCACTCTTACTACTTTGCAACAAAAAGTATAAAACCAGTGATATTACAATTTTTTTTAAATGATTACATGGTGGACCCTTTTTCCTCCTCTGTGAGTCCTGTGAAAATGGCAGCTCACCAGAGGGGCTCCAGTCGGGCCTGGGTCCTGAGTGGGAACAGTGTAGCCCAGTGACCTCCCCACTATTAATTAGCCATCTCCGCTGAACCCCTGCCCCAACTTTCTGACCCCTGACAAACCAGAGCAGGTTTTCCTCTCTTAACATTCCTCCTAAGGCCTGCACTGCTTTTCAAGCATCATTTAGTACTGGTCACCGCCTCCATTCACCTTTAAGTGGGCTTTGGCAGTTAGCCTTCAGCATTGCACTGATTTGTAGTGCTTATTGTTGCTAACACAACATGTTGTTGGTCTTGGGATTAAAAGTGAATACCCAACCTTTCTTAACCTTTCGGAACCATTCATATGTAATAATGCGGAATCCCACATTTTTGC